TGGTATTGCACCATCTGACATCTGCTGGGAAGTAGCAGCCAGCAATGAAAGGACCAAGGCATCAGCATCTCTAACCCACCCTCTGTTGGATATCAGCCAGCACATCAACGCCTTAAATCAGAAAAGAGTTTTCAAAGCTCTACAGATACTCACAGGAACACCTCAGCAAGCAAGAGTCCAAAAGTGGCAGGCTAAAACCCAGAACCTCAATCAGTGGCTGAGGCCAGATGAGAAACTCCCTCCTGGGCACACAGAAGGCCAGGCAACTTGGAAGGCAGGCACTGAACAGGCTGAGCTCTGGCATCAAAAAGTGGGTGCTAGAAATAACATCGTATGCAAGCAGACTGGCACAACCTGGGGTTCACAACCAGACACAGTGAAGACATCCTCCCTTGTGCTTTGCTACTCTGCTGCTGAGTACACATGCCCAGTATGGAATACATGTCACCACGTTTAAAAAGTGAATATGGCTCTTAATGAGACATGCCTTACTATCACAAGATGTCGATGCCCTACACCACTGGAGAAATTAATACTGTTTAGCCGGTATAGCACCACCTTACATCCATCATAAAGTAGCAGTCAGCAATGAAAGGACCAATCTCCGGCCCATCTTCTGTTTGGATATGCACCAGCATGCCAATGCCTTAAATTAAATAACAGCTTTCTAAGAGCTAAGGAGATATTTACAGGAGCACCTCAGCAAGCAAGAGTCCAAAAGTGGCAGGCTAATAAAATAATAAAAAATAAATATAAAATAAATAAATAAATAAATAAATAAAAATAATAAAATAATGATAAAATAAATATAAATAAATAACTGGGTTGTTGTATGTTTATTCGGGCTATATGGCCATGTTCTAAAGGCATTTTCTCCTGACGTTTCACCTGCATCTATGGCAAGCATCCTCAGAGGTAGTGAGGTCTATTGGAACTAGGAAAAAGGGTTTATATATCTGTGGAATGACCAGGGTGGGACAAAGGACTCTTGTCTTCTGGAGCTAGGTGTGAATGTTTTTATTTATAAATAAATAAATAATAAAACAAATAACTAAAAAATAAAATAAAATAATAAAATAAAATTAATAATAATATAATAATAATAAAAGTGGCTGAGGCCGGATGAAAAACTCCCTCCTGGGCAGACAGAAGGCCGGGAAACTTGGAAAGAAGGCACTGAATAGGTTGCGCTCTGGCACTGAGAGACGCAGAGCCAATCTTAAGAAATGGGGCTTCAAAGTGGAGTCCACAACATGCGAGTGAGGAGAAGAGCAAACCAAAGACCATTTACTACAATGCAGCCTGAGCCCTGCCACATGCACAATGGAGGACCACCTCACAGCAACACCAGAGGAACTCCAAGTGTTCAGCTTCTGCTCAAAGGAAATTTAGCAAAATGCCAAGTTTTTAACTTCCTTTGTTTTTTAAATACATTTTAACTGTACTCTCAATTTGCTTCTGACACTCTAAATACATAAGCTACGTGTATATTTTTTAAATGACCTTATTGCCAGCAAACGTTAGACACATAGCTGACATAGCTGACTTGTAGCCGGGAACGGCAACTGCTGAGTGTGATGTCGACATTCAATACTTTGCTTGTGCATCCCTTTCGCCGCTTCTCTTCCACACATTAGATATTAGCTCTGCCAACGCGGGTAATCCTCCACTTTGATCGGTCCTTTGAAGAAGTGACGCTTGCTTGTGACGGGACGTGTTATTACTCTGCTTCTCATTGAGACCGACGAAGCTTGAGATTAATCTGAAAGCCGAGACGGCTGAGAACTGCCGTTTCTGTCCCTGCGTCCAAGACCTTGGAACGCACAGTGCGCTTTGCGGCCCTCCCATGTCATGTTACCCAAAGCGGAGGAGGCCTCTTTCACCCCGATGATGCAGGGAGATGAATGGATGTGTGTGCTGAGTCCTTATCGTTCCGTCAGAGATGTCTATCAGGTTGCAGGTTAGATCAAGGAGGCTATTTGAGGAGTGGCCCGTTCACAATTCTCACCTCATAAGCAGAATGCTTCATCTTTCACCACTGAGTATTGGGGAGGGAGGCGGGTGTCACCTTATATTTAACAATAACCTGCCTTTGAGGACATGTATTCGAGAAGAGTGGGTTCCTGGGTTGGGGAAGGAGGTAAATAGCATCGTTCTGGTGGCCATTTTGGTTTCCAGCTTTCTGACGTCTCAAGCCATGGGCATTAACTCCAAGACCTGTACACCTTTCTTGTCTGCATCGATCTGTCCCAACTTCTTCTTCTTGTTACCTGGGTTATTTGAATATATTATTATTATTATTATTATTATTATTTATTATCTATCTATCTATTTATCTATCTATCTATCTATATATATATAAATGCTCTGTGCGTAATGAGTACCTTAAAAACAAAAGAACCAATGAACGAAATCACACCAAATTTGGCAACAAAACGTCTCACAACACAAGGAGTGACCATCACTCAAAAAATTATGATTTTGTCATTTGGGAGTTATAGTTGCTGGGATTTATAATTCACCTACAATCAAAGAGCATTCTGAACTCCAACAATGATGGAATTGAACCAAACTTGGCACACAGAACTCCCATGACCAACAGAAAATACTGGAAGGGTTTGGTGGGCATTGACCTGGAGTTTGGGAGTTGTAGTTCACCTACTCAAACAATGATGGATCTGGACCAAACTCTACACAAATACTCAATATACCCAAATGTGAACACTGGTGGAGTTTGGGGAAAATAGAATCTTGACATTTGGGAGTTGTAGTTGCTGGGATTTATAGTTCACCTACAATCACAGAGCATTCTGAACCCCACCAACATTATAGAGATCACTGTGGACTCAAACAATGATGGATCTGGACCAAACTTGGCACGAATATTCAATATGCCCAAATATTATTTATTTATTTATTTATTATTTATATAAACACAGATGGAGTTTGGGGGAAATAGGGAGTTGTAGTTACTAGGATTTATAGTTCACCTACAATCAAGGAGCATTCTGAACCCCACCAACGACAGAATTGGGCCAAACCTCCCACACAGAACCCTCATGACCAACAGAAAATACTGTGTTTTCAGAGAAGGTGAACCTTCTGACACCCCCTCGCAATTCCTCCCCCAGGGGTCCCAAACCCCAGATTGAGAAATGCTGCCTTAAGGCCACCGAGTCCAACTCCCTTCACCATAGCAAGAAAACATAAAGCCCTCCCGACAAAGACCCATCCAGCTATAGATATAGATACATATATATGATTCACACACATATGTTTATGACAGATATAGTACCCCCCCACCCCCGGGTCTTCATTTCCCAGGTTGAGAAATGCTGCCTTAAGGCTATCCAGTCAAACTCCTTTCACCAGGGGAAGATAACATAATCAAAGCCCTCCTGACAAAGAACCATCCAGCCATTTGCACACACACAAATATGTATATGACAGATGCAGTATCAACTATTTGAAAGGGACCCCTAAAGAAGGACAATGATATGTTGCATGTTCCAGAGTAGGCAAACCTCCACATCAACACTGACAAAGAAACAGCAAGAAATACTGTTTACCCACAAACAGAAAGACGTTACATTTATTAGAAACCAACACTTTCTCATTACTTTATTTTCCATAAATAACATAAATAAAACCGTTAAAGCATATAATCATGGGTGTCATCCTGTTAAAAATGTTATCCAGTAACATCATCTGGCCATTCCATGTTCATAATTCATAGTTCCGTGTTATTTATTCCGCTGCATTCTCAAAAGCTTGCTCAAAGAGCCAGGTCTTTACTTGTTTTTGGAAAGTCAGGAGGGAGGGGGCCGATCTAATATCCCTGGGGAGGGAGTTCCATAGCCTACAACTACAACTCACATCATTCCAGGTAACCTCCTGAAACTCCATCAGTGCTTAAAGTTTGTCTTGTTGGTCAAGTTTGCTCAGTGGTTCCCAACATTTGAGCCTCCAGATGTTTTGGACTTCAACTCCCAGAAATCCCAGCTGTTAGGAACTGCGGGAGCTGAAGCCCAAAACACCTGGAGACCCAAAGGTTGGGAACCACTACTCAAGATGCGTCATGGGTAGGGTTCACTGTGATCTCTGGTTGCAGGATAAACTACAGCTCCCGCCATGGTGGGCTAGTCCCCTCACATCTCTCTAGTAGGTTCAATTAGTCATGGGGGTTCTGTGTGCCAAGTTTGGTCCAGATCAGTCATTGATGGTGGTCATAGCTTCTCTGGATGTCCATGTTAGTTCATCAGGTGCTCTGCTATAGCTGACTTTTCAGGCTGAAATAGTCCTCAGTGCCTTTTATGTCCCTTGATTCACTCCATCCTCTATGAGCATACATTTGGCCTTAGTTTTGAAATGTGCCATGGTGTTATTGTCTAATGTTTATTGCTATTGTTTTAATGTTTATTGCTTGTTTTATGAGTTTATTTATTGTTGTATTTGTTATGCTGTTGTTTTATTGATGTGTTGGGCCTCGGCCTCTTGTAAGCCGCACCGAGTCCTTCGGGAGATGTTAGCGGGGTATAAATAAAGGATTATTATTATTATTATTATTATTATTATTATTATATTCCAGCATTTTCTGATCTTCTTTTTCTTTATGGCATTGTAAAACACCTCCCCCGCTTTTAGCGGTACCTAATTTCTCTAATTACAGCTAAAGCTGTTTTTGAAATGCTTAGGTAAACAGTGAGCAGGGCTGACAGTCGACCACTCACACTGACCCAGGGCTTCGAACTTGCAACCTTTCGGTTGATAGATCTTATAATTGCTGGTGATTTATCAGCTGTGCTTAAACTCCGGCCTTTCTGGAACATGGCCAAACAGTCTGGAAAACTCACAGCAACCTATTTATTTACCCTTTGCATAATCATTGTATGGAATTAACAGTTGTATGGAGATGGCCTTAAAATAAAGCAAGATCTTTTTTTTTCCTGAGCCAGATACAATATTTTCTGCGCTAACCTTTGTCCCTTTCCTTTCTGTAGGAACACTTGTCGTTGAAGAAGTACATTGTGGATATTTTAGTAGAAAGTTTGGTACCAACAGAGCCTTTAAAAGACAGCGAGGAGAGGCAGAAAACAAAAAAGAAAGCCAAGAAACTAAAAGCACGGATGAACTCGAGGTATTGCCATTTTCTCTCTAGCTTTGTTTATATAAGGGTAAGGTGGGGTTTTTTTTTCTTTCTGTCCTTCAAAAAAAATTACTATTTTTTAAAAAAAGTGTCGGAAGTTATTTGCTTCAGGAACATCTTGAAAATAACACTGATGAGTCTAATTTATGGCCACTTTCTCTGATTGAGGAAGAAAACCGAATATCGATCCGCAGCCCTTGCTTTCACCTGTTAAGAGCTTTCCTCGTAATTGGATGCCAGGGCCCTGCCAAAACTGTAGCCTCTCCTCGCATACAATGCTATGTTTAAGTATGTGTAAACCAGGCCTATTTTTCTTCCGCGCTATTGATTTTTAAAATGAAGTATCAAAGAAAATCAATAGTAATCAACAAATAGAAGCCCGTCGGCGGGAGTGTCAAATCCCCAGGCTGGGTTTAATCAATTTTGTTGCCTGCCACAACAAGGAAAAGTTAGAAATATCTTAAAATGGAAAGTGAGTTGTCAGACCTGCCGTTTGTCATTGCCCGAAAATGTGACATCCGCGCATCAGAATGAAAAGCGGGGCATCATTCTATCATGAGCCGTCGGAGCCGAGACATCCCCATCGGAGGTTATCTCCATCCAATATAATCTGTCAATGATATTGTTGTTCTTTAAATGACTCCCTATTTAAAGGCTCCCTTTCACTTAGTTTAAATCCATTACAAGCAATGAAATATTGTCGCTGCTGTGTTTAATTATCTCGCCTGTGAATGAGTTCAATGGCTTTGTTTTTTTATATCTATTGTTGTACGGTTCCAGCAATTTTATTACATGGCGTTAAAATTATTTCGCATTCCCATTGTGAATCTCATCACCAAGTTTGGTTTGCATCCATTGGCTCCTCTCATGCTTTCATTTTAAAACATTGTGTGTCCAATGTCATAAACAGGGATATAATTTCGTTTCAAGACAAGTTAACATTGTGAGTATATTGTCGAAGGCTTTCATGGCCGGAATCACTGGGTTGTTGTAGGTTTTTCCGGGCTATATGGCCATGTTCTAGAGGCATTTTCTCCTGACGTTTCGCCTGCATCTATGGCAAGCATCCTCAGAGGTAGTGAGGTCTGTTGGAAGTAGGAAAATGGGTTTATATATCTGTGGAATGACCAGGGTGGGACAAAGGACTTTTGTCTGCTGGAGCTAGGTGTGAATGTTTCAACTGACCACCTTGATTAGCTTATATTAGAATATATTAGATTTATCACATTAGGAATTAAATACTAATCAAGGTGGTCAGTTATTATTATTATTATAACTTTATTTGTACCCCGCTAGCATCTCCCGAAGGACTCGATGCGGCTTACATAGGCCGAAGCCTCAAAACACAGTACAACAATACAATACCTAAAGCAAATTAAATACAGTTAAGCAGAATAAACAACAACAGTAACAATACATCGAGACACTATAAAACTGGGCCGGCCAGAGTAGTGGGTACAGGATTAAAAGTGCTGATGTGGCGGGAGGAATGTAGGATTATAAAGTAAGTGCAGTGTGCGGTGTGCAGTGATCTTAGTTCTACTAAAGTGCTTCTAGGACTTGGTATTGGAGGTTCCTAATCTGAGAAGGCACATCGGAACAGCCAGGTCTTCAAGTTCTTTCTGAAGACTGCCAATGTAGGGGCCTGTCAAAGATCTTTTGGGAGGGCGTTCCAAAGTTGGGGGGCCACCACAGAAAAGGCCCTGTCTCGCGTCCCCACCAAGCGCGCTTGCAACGCTGGCAGTTGAAACATTCACACCTAGCCCCAGCAGACAAAAGTCCTTTGTCCCACCCTGGTCATTCCACAGATATATAAACCCATTTTCCTACTTCCAACAGACCTCACTACCTCTGAGGATGCTTGCCATAGATGCAGGCGAAACGTCAGGAGAAATGCCTCTAGAACATGGCCATATAGCCCGGAAAAACCTACAACACCAACATTGTGAGTGTTGCACTCCAGGTCAGGAAAAAGCCTTCTGACTTTAAAACACACCACACAAAGAGTGAAGAAACAAATCTTCTTTTATTGAAGCTTAGTAAATAGCCAGAAGAAATAAATGCTTGTAAGAAAATAAGAAGGTTCCAAAAAGTAATAAGTCCATAAAAGGCAGTAACACAAAGCAATGTCCACACAAGATATAAAAGCAATCCAAGACAGTGTTTATCCAGACAGGAATCAACAGGATGCAAAGACAATCCAAAAGGCTAAAAAAACTCAACAGGAACAAGACCCCTTGAATAGGATTTCCATGGCACATTAACTTCTTTGGGGGGATATGTAGTGCATGCACACACACACACGTGCATACACATATGGGAGTGGATAATATGGTAATGTCTATGTTGAAAGGAAGTTGTGGAGAATACCTACATGGATGTTAATTTTACTATATTTCCTCAACTCTCCCCTCAAATACACACAGTCACGCGGGAAATAAGTGGCTCTGCTGGAGTGCATGTCTTGAGGGGTTATTGTGGGGATGATCTTGCATGTGCATTAATTCCACTACATTTTCACAACTCCACACACCCATACGCACTCACTGTTGCTCTGCCAACATGTGTATGTTGCCAAGTTGTAAAAGATAGATAGAATGATTTTCAATTCATATAGCAGTTCAAAAACATGCAAATGTGAGTAGAGCAATAGGTACCACTCTGGCAGGAAGGTACGTGCACTCCATGCAGTCATGCCAATGGCCACATGACTTTGGAGGTGTCTTTGGACAACGCCGGTTCTTCAGCTAAAAAATGGAGATGAGAGTCCCAGAGTTGGACATGACTGGATTTAATGTCAGGGGGAAACTTTAGCTTTAACCTATACACACACAAACAGTGTGGATATGCTATTGTGTGTTTTGTTTTGTGAACAAATTGTGGGACTATAGATATCCTATGCTACCTTCCCAACTGTCCTCCCTCCCTGATAGGGGCAGACCCCCCTCACTGGTCGGGCTCTGTCCCCCCAGCTCCTGGCTCCCCCTGCTTTGCTTGGCTTCACCATCCCCACCAAGTTGCAACGGAAACGGCTGTGACGGGCTCTGAGCCTGGGGTCCGCTGCTACTGCTGCCTGTGCTTCTGCCTCCTCCTCCTCTTCTTCTTCCTCTATGTGGGTCCCCCTTCAGACTCTCTCCTGCCTCAGAAGCTTGGTGGGGGCTGGAAGCCTTGGAAGTGCCCACCTTTGCAAAGGCAACGGGAAGAGCCAAGAGGAGGGAAGAGAGGAGGTTGCCCCCCTCTCTCTCCCTCCCTCCCCCAGGCTATGCCCGCCGCACACACACACGCAACCCCACGCTCCATCACTCCCCCCCCCCCCCCCCCCCCCCCCCCCACCCCCCCCCCCCCCCCCCCCCCCCCCCCCCCCCCTCTCTCTCTCTCTATCCCCCAGGCTGTGCAAGGCACGCTCTCCCCTTTTTCCAATGCTTACTTCTTTCTTTCCTCCCTTCTTCATTTCTCCCTTTCCTCCGTTGCCACAGCAGGCAAGGAGGAAGGTGAAGAGGAAGGGGTCATGCTGCGGTGAGGAAGCTCCCTGCCACGGTGAGGGAGGGAGCTCGTTGCCGCTCGCTGTGCCAGTTCTGTTTGTATGGCCGTGCGTGCGCATGTGCTTGGCTGTCAATGCTGTAACGGCCGCTCTTCCCTTGTGTGGATTTTTGGGGTTTCTGCTGTTTCTTTGGGGTTTTTTTTTGAATGGAGGACATGAATTGGGTTGTTAGGTGTTGTTGGGGTTCAGCCTGAGTTTGAACTTGAACCTGATTCTCTGTTTGTTCCTCCTGATGCTAATGAAAATATATTTACTGATGCTAATGAAAATGTACCTCTTGATGTCAATGCTCCTGAAATTAGTGAGGAAGAAACTTCTGTAGATTTGGAAAATGCCAATGCTCCTGAAATTAGTGAGGAAGAAACTTCTGTAGATTTGGAAAATGAAAGTACCAGTGTTCATGAGAATGTTTCAGAGGGAAGCCATGACCTTTCACTCCCTTCTGCACCTGGTAACTTTAATGAGAACAGAAGGGGCCAGATCTGGCAAGACAGAAGTAAATCACTCAGCTTGCGAAGGTCTTCCCGATTAAAAGAAATACAAACAACGGCTTCAAAGCAGAGAGGCGGTTCACGGAACCAATTCTTCGGCTTTAAGTGCCTTCCACCGGGCTGACTTTCTCAGTTCAGGCATCGTTTCAGATTGATGAAGACCTTGGCAGTTCTCCTGGTTTCCCTGGCCATCGTCTTGAAAGATTTCTAGGATATCAAGTACGGTTAGTGGATTGCTAACAGGTTCCAGTATTTTACAGTGTGGCTTTGGGTTTTGTTTTTGTCCATTTAAATTCATGTTTGCTGATTTTGCTGTGGCTTTTGACTTGCATTTTTCCTTTATTTTGTAACCATTTTTCTTCAATAAAAAAGGATTGTTTTTTCACAGTCAAGTGTGGTGGACAGTTATCTTAGGGCCTCGTTTCCTGCTCTGTATTGCAGCAGGTGTATCATGTCCAAATTTGGTGTCAATTCCCCCAGTGGTTTTTGAGTTCTGTGAATATCACAAACGAACATTACATTTTTATTTATATAGATTATTTTTAGTATTATATTGTATAACATTATAATATTTTGAGTTATGTTAATCCCACAAACTAACATTACATTTTTATTTACATAGATAGTCCTGAGTAATATGGTAGACTTTATGCAGCATTTTCCTATGTTGCTCCATATCCTAGTCTGCCGTAAGGTCCACAAAAACCGTTCCCGCAATATAATCTTTTGCATATCCTTCCTCGATAATTGTCTCATTATTTGCCAAAATAAAATAGATAGGAAGTAGCTATCTTTCTTTTCTGGACAAAACAGACCTTGTTTGCAACAAATAGTGAAATGAATGGGGATCCAATCTCACTATCAGATGGGGAAATGGGATTACATTAACCAAGACAGAGGTTACATTAAGGATCTTGAGTAAAGCAAAGAGGCGAAGACCTGCTTCCTTTCCAGCCACTGAGGGTGGGAGAAAAGCAGGAGGAACAAGGAAGATAATGAAGGGGCAAAGGATCGCCCGGGGCATGTATAATACAGATAAATATTTGTGGAATGTATGAAAGCTCCTTTTTACCGACTCTGTGCAGACTTGAAATTCAACTTCCTCGTCTGTCACTCTAATCGTGGCCCATCTCCCTCCGAATCCTTCCTTTTCTCCTCGCAGATAAAGGTCAAGCTTTTCAGCCTTGGCTTAAAAGCTTTTCATATTCCTGCCTCTCCCTGCTTCATGTCGCTCTGTCTATCCGCCGGATGAACTCAATCTGCTCCGAGAATCTAACAAGTTTCAAGACTGGCAAGGAAGAATAAATACAAAATGCAATTACATGATCCCCCAGCCCCAGCCCCTTTGTGACATCAAAGGAAGATGTCTCCAGTTGATCCAGATGACTAGGAATTGTATTTTACATGTCCAACAGATGGGATTGTCTCAAGATCTCTCCACCTTTGACAGAAAGGATTATCTTATTTTATCGACTCATAGAATCATAGAATCAAAGAGTTGGAAGAGACCTCATGGGCCATCCAGTCCAACCCCCTGCCAAGAAGCAGGAATATTGCATTCAAATCACCCCTGACAGATGGCCATCTAGCTTCTGTTTAAAAGCTTCCAAAGAAGGAGCCTCCACCATTCTCCGGGGCAGAGAGTTCCACTGCTGAACGGCTCTCACAGTCAGGAAGTTCTTCCTCATGTTCAGATGGAATCTCCTTTCTTGTAGTTTGAAGCCATTGTTCCATTGCGTCCTAGTCTCCAGGGAAGCAGAAAACAAGCTTGCTCCCTCCTCCCTGTGGCTTCCTCTCACATATTTATACATGGCTATCATATCTCCTCTCAGCCTTCTCTTCTTTAGGCTAAACATGCCCAGTTCCTTAAGGCGCTCCTCATAGGGCTTGTTCTCCAGACCCTTGATCATTTTAGTCGCCTCCTCTGGACACATTCCAGCTTGTCAATATCTCTCTTGAATTGTGGTGCCCAGAATTGGACACAATATTCCAGGTGTGATCTAACCAAAGCGGAATAGAGGAGTAGCATGTCTTCCCTAGATTTAGACACTATGCTCCTATTGATGCAGGCCAAAATCCCATTGGCTTTTTTTGCCGCCACATCACATTGTTGGCTCATGTTTAACTGACTTAAACCATTGGACGTAAAATGTGGTTTTCATCAAACTTTTTTGCAGTTTTGGTGCAAGTGTCATGGATTGTAGATGTAATACTGACGCCAACTCATGCCAAACTAATTCTGAATTGTGATGGCCTCTCTGTTATAGCTTTACTGCAAAGGAGAGCTCAAGTAAAGTGCATTAGTCTGAACATTGAACCTATAGCATAAGGGTCCCCAAACTAAGGCCCGAGGGCCAGATACGGCCCTCGAAGGTCATTTACCCGGCACTTGTTCAGGGTCAACCTAAGTCTGAAACGACTTGAAAGCACACAACAAAACAACAATCCTATCTCATCAGCCAAAACAGGCCCACACTTCCCATTGAAGTTTTAATCTATATAAATAAAAATGTAATGTTTATTTGTGGGATTAACATAACTCAAAAACCACTGGACGAATTGACACCAAATTTGGACACACAACACCTATCGGGCCATCACTCAGAAAAACACAAAAGAAGGGACTTAAAAAGCTCCAAAACAAACAAACAGAAACATTACAACTCATGTGCAAAACCACATATGCAAACACAAATATATGCACACGCACACACATACCATTGAAATACTAATAAGTTTATATTTGTTAAGATTGTTCTTCATTTTAATCATTGTATTGTTTTTAAGGGGGGGGGTTGCACTACAAATAAGATATGTACAGTGTGAATAAGAATTAATTCATGATTTTTAAAAATTAGAATCCAGCCCAACAGTTTGAGGGACTGTGACCTGGCCCTCTGTTTAAAAAGTTTGAGGACCCCTGCTATAGCAGATCTGAATTGAGATATTCTGTATTGTCGAAGGCTTTCGTGGCCAGAATCACTGGGTTGTTGTAGGTTTTTCGGGCTGTATGGCCATGTTCTATTTATTTATTTCCTATATTTTTACCCCACCCTTCTCATTCCCGAGGGGGGACTCAGGGTGGCCTCACAAAAGCATCGTAAGATGCCGACATCATACAAACAATCAGCAGTACATTAAAATATTAAAAACAGTAATTAAACAATTGATTAAAAACACACCTGTTAAAATCAGAATCCAAAATCCAGAGTCCAACATCCAGTCTGGGTCAATTCATTGTCTTAAAACTTTTTTTACTTGCTGTTATTACTGGTCGAATGCTTGGCCCCATAGCCAGTTCTTAAGTTTCCTTCTGAAAAAAAGGAGGGAGGTGGCCAATCTGATGTCACTGGGGAGGGAGTTCCACAGACAAGGGGCCACTGCAGTGAAGGCCCTGTCCCTTGTCCCCACCAGTCGTATTTGCGATGACGGTGGGATCGAGAGCAGGGCCTCTCCAGATTATCTTAAATTTCATGATGGTTCAGAACAGGAGATACATTCAGGCAGGTAGTCTAAGTAATTATAGAAGAATTGTCTCCTGACATTTCGCCTACATCTGTGGCAAGCATCCTCAGAAGCTGTGAGGTTTCAAGCATCCTCTGAGGAAGCTTGCCACAGATGCAGGTGAAATGTCAGGAGAGAATTCTTCTAGATAATGGACATACAGCCCAAAAACCCTTGAGATGCTCTGTTTGGGCCGAAATCTTTTTGGGAATCCTTCTGCACATTGCTACTATAGTCAGCCCTCCACGTTCTTGGTGGTTAGGAGCACAAGACTCCCTTGAAAGTGAAAAACTAAAATTAAAAATGGCTTTTGCCCAAGAGAGAACATCTCTTTAGAAATGTCTAAGTCTTCCAGTACGACTTTATCATAGAATCATAGAATGGGAAGAAACCTCTGTTGGGTGAGTGGGCTTATTAGCAGAAGACCCACTTCATACATTTTCAGCAGAGTAACTTATTAGCAGCAGTGTGACCCAGCACCAGTAGCCCAGAAAAAGAACAAAACACACAGACCAATGTTATCTCTTCCTTATGAGGCTTTTCTTTATAGCAAAATAATATGATTGTACTATTTAAAAGAGCAAGGTTTTCATAACACAAATAAAGTTCTTTATACTTCCTTCTTTGCTTCCAATGCAGAGTTTCTTTCTCATGCAGAAAAACAGCTTTGCTCTCACAGAGCCTCTTCTCACACCTAAGTTACACAGCAGCTTCACACAGTAGCTTTTTCACACAGCAGCCATCACACACAATGGCCTTCAACCTGGTGCTTCTCTCACCGGAGCTTCTCACATGCAAGGCCTACACACACTGAGGCCTTTCTCCCACTGAGGCCTTCTCACATTGAGTGTTCTCTCAGACTGAGACCTTTCTCCTACTGAGGTCTTCTCACATTGAGTGTTCTCTCAGACTGAGACCTTTCTCCTACTGAGGCCTTCTCACATTGAGTGTTCTCTCAGACTGAGACCTTTCTCCTACTGAGGCCTTCTCACATTGAGTGTTCTCTCAGACTGAAACCTTTCTGCTACTGAGGCCTTCTCACATTGAGTGTTCTCTCAGACTGAGACCTTTCTCCTACTGAGGCCTTCTCACATTGAGTGTTCTCTCAGACTGAGACCTTTCTCCTACTGAGGCCTTCTCACATTGAGTGTTCTCTCAGACTGAGACCTTTCTCCTACAGAGGCGAATTAACACTGAGGCGTCCTCATACTGAAGCCTACTAAGCCATAGACACACCTACTTATATTAAACTGAAGCTTTTGCTGAGTCGTTGCATCCATTTAATGTCAAATAATGTCAAAACAAGTGAATTAAGATATGTTTCCTTCCATAGGGCAAAGGAGTATGAAAGTCTGATGGAAGCGAAAAATCTTTCCTGTGATTCTCCGTACAAGGCAAAGTAAGACTGGGCTTTTTAATTTACATTTTAGTTGAACAAGTAAGATTTAAACTTATCATAAGTGCCTTAGTAGCCAGTTTTGGAGCTTCAAGTGGAAACCGCTTTGAGTCCCTCCAGGAGTGAGAAAGGCGGTATAGAAATACTGTAAACAATAAATAAAGAAATAAAGAAATAAATAAACCTCTTTTCGTGTCTAATGTTTTCCCAAAAGTGTAATGAGGAACTAAAGTAATAACATATTGCATTGACCTAATGCATAATTGGAGCAGTGGACATTTCCATCCGGTTTGAAACAGGCTGTGGTGAGACCACTGCTGAAAAAGGTTTCCCTTGACTTCATGGTCTTGAGTAACTACAAGCCAATCTCCAACCTCCCGTTCTTGGGCAAGGTGCTGGAGCGGGTGGTCACCTTTCAGCTCCAGGGTTTCCTGGATGACATCGATTATCTGGATCAGTCACAGTCTGGCTTCAGACCTGGTCACGGTACCGAGACGGCTTTGGTTGCCTTGGTGGATGACCTCTGTAGGGAGCTGGACAGGGAGAGTGTGACCCTGCTTGTTCTCTTGGACATCTCAGCCACTTTCGATACCATTGATCATGGTATCCTTCTGGGACAACTCTCCGGGAGGGGCGTTGGGGGCACGGCTCTGTCGTGACTCCGGTCCTTCCTGGAGGGTCGTTCCCAGATGGTGAAGCTGGGAGACACCTGCTCGGACCCCTGGCCTTTGACCTGTGGGGTCCCGCAAGGTTCCATTCTGTCCCCCATGCTTTTCAACATCTACATGAAACCGCTGGGAGAGGTCATCCGGAGTTTTGGAGTTGGGGGCCATCTCTACGCAGATGACGCCCAACTCTACTACTACTTTCCACCTAATTCCAAGGAAGCCCCTCGGGTACTGGACGAGTGCTGTGGCTGTCTGGATGAGGATGAATAAGCTGAGGATCAATCCTGACAAGACAGAGGTTCTCCTGGTCAATCGTAAGCCGGATCGGGGTATAGGGTGGCAACCTGTGCTGGATGGGATTGCATTCCCCCTGACATCACAGGTCCGCAGCTTGGGGGTCCTCCAGCCAGATTACTAACCGGTGCTTCTTACAGGGAGTGGTCAACCCTCCTGTTTAAGGAGCTCCACTGGCTGCCATTCATTTTCCGGTCCCAATTCAAGGTGCAGGTTCTTACCTACAAAGCCCTGAACGGTTTGGGACCCACCTACCTGCGTGACCGCATTTCTGTGTACAAACCCACACGATCTCTTCGATCATCTGGAGAGGCCCTACTTGCGCTCCCGCCTCGCAGACCTTGTCTGTGATGGCCCCCCGACTCTGGAACTCACTTCCCAAGGATATCAGGCATGCCCCAACATTGGCAATCTTTAGGAGGAGCCTGAAAACATGGCTGTTCTAGTGTGCCTTCCTGGAATAAGGAAATAATTCCCAGCAATATGTCCTCAGAATGCACTTTAACTATTGCATTGTGTTGGACTGCGCTCCCCTCACTTTTTTAAAAACCTTCCTACCAGCTATATCCTACCTTGTTCATGCCCAGCATTTATTTTTTAAATTTTAAACTATTACATTTGGCCTGGCCGTAGGTTTTTAAATCCTTGTGTGTTATTGCCTATATTAATTTGTATTGTACTAGCTTTACCTGCCACGCGTTGCTGTGGCCAGCCTTCTCTCCCTCTTTCTCTGCTTCTTTCACTCCTTCCTTCATTCCGTTTTCTTCTTTCCTTTCTTCCTTCTCTACCTGTTTACTTCCTTCCTTAGCTGTTTGCTTTCATCCTTCCTTCTCCTTATTTATTTCCTTCCCTGCGTCTTTCTCTCCTTCTTTCTCTTTTTCCTTTGCTGCGTCTTTCCTCCCTTCCCTTTTTTTTTCTTTCTCTTTGTCTCCTTTCTTCCCTCTCTTTCTCTTTCCTTCCTTCCTTCGCTCTGTAGTTCCATACTTCCTTTTCTTTCTTTCTTTCTTCTTCCCTCCCTTCCTCCCTCCCTCCCCCTTTCTCTTCTTCATTTCTTCTTTCCTCCCTTCCTTTTTTTTCTCCCTTTCTTCCTTCCTTCCTTCCTTCCTTCCTTCCTTCCTTCCTTCCTTCCTTTCTCCCTTCTTTCCCATGCTCCTACTCTCTCTTTCTTCTTTCTTTCCTCCCTTTCTTCCCTCATATACTTTCCCAACTTCTCCTTCCTTCCTTTTTTCATACACCTTCCCTTCCCCTTCCTCCTTTTGTTTATTTCCTACCTTTCTTCTCTGATATACCTGCCTTCCTTCTTTCCTTCACTTCCTTCCTACACCTTCCCTTCACACTTTTCTTCTTTTTCCTTCTTTTCTTCCTTCCTTCCTTCCTTCCTTCCTTCCTTCCTTCCTATTTACACCCCTTCCCCTCATTTCTGTCCTTCCTTCCCTCACCCGATTCTTTCCCTCCTTCCCGTTACTCATCGTCCCCGATGGCAGTGTCCTTCCTTCCCTGGAGCCAGACACCGATGTGCGGGGGCGGCCTGGGCCGGGCATGGCGGAGGCCGAAGGGCTGTCCTCGGGAGAGGCGGGTCGCAGCCTCTCCCGGGCGGACCACAAAGGTGCGCAGCGGGGGCCTCCCGGGCAGCCTCCGCTGGTCCAGCCCCGGGAAGGCCACCAGCTGTCCGGGCCCGTGGAAGGTGGACAGCCCCCCGCGCCGCACGTACACCAGGCCGGCCCCCAGCACGCACAGGCGGGCGAGCTCCCACTCCCAGGCCAGGGCTTCAGCGTCGGCACCTAGGCCGCGCTCAGTTTGGCATGGGGGAAGGGGTGGGGCGGCGATGGGAGGGGGCGTGGCTTGCGCGGAGGGGGCATGGTGCGGCCATGTGTATGCACCGGGCAACTCGCGCTGCGACTCCTCTGCGCATGCTCCGTTTGGTTGTGTAATTGTGAGTTTGTTGTTATGTTTTTTTTGAGTTGTGATGAGTGTTTTGCATACCTTGTGGTTTGAGGTATGCGTACGCCAAGTTTGGTGATTTTTCGTCCGGGGGTTTTCGCGTTTTGTGGTCCCTAATGATGCCCTTTTGGATTTTATATATATAGATTGTTTTGTTTATTGCTTTTTTGTTTTATTGATGTGTTGTTGGGCTTGGCCTCATGTAAGCCACTCCGAGTCCCTTGGGGAGATGGTGGCGGGGTACAAATAAAGTTTTATTATTACTATATTATTATAATCGAATGACCCATTGGACCTGATGGGCCTTATTTCCAAGTCAATACATTTGGGGTTTTAAAGCATACTTTGATCCAAAAGGTCTTAGAGAATTGTACTGGAATGTTCATTTACTACTTCTGATCTTTCTCTCAATTTCTTCATTCCTTTTTTTTAAAAGGCTGCAGCGATTGGTGAAAGACCTGCTGAAACAGCTCCAGGGTCAAGACAGTAACAAAGCTTCAGCCCTGGATAGGATTTTGGGAGAGATCTCACGCATCTTGGAAAAAGAGGTATTGCAAGTCCCATTTCTCAACTCAAGTACGATATATTTTTGAATAAGGAAAAAAATTCTATTTTATGGGTTTTCCTCCCAGTAAAGACTTCTCAGAATTGCATCCTCTCTCTTATGCATATGAGTACTGGAAATGTTATCGAGAGACGAGTGGGAAGGGATATTTTATAAGGTATTTTATTACTCTTGGTTGCGTATTATTTATCTTTAGTTAGTGGAAAGATGCATTATTAATATACTAGAGTAAAACCAGTCTGTATTGCAAATTGTAGTCTGATGCTTTTATGTTATGCTGCATTGAGTCTCCTTCAGAAGAAATAAAGCGGGATATAATCATCATCATCATCATCATCTGAGCTGGGATGTCATTTAATAATAATTTTGTTTGTTTAAAATATGTACATTTAAAATTGGTTGTTGTAGGTTTTTCCGGGCTAGATGGCCATGTTCGAGAGGCATTTTCTCCTGACGTTTCGCCTGCATCTATGCCAAGCATCTTCAGAGGTAGTGAGGTCTGTTGGAAGTAGGAAAATGGGTTTATATATCTGTGGAATGACCAGGGTGGGACAAAGGACTTTTGTCTGCTGGAGCTAGGTGTGAATGTTTCAACTGACCACCTTGATTAGCATTTAATGGCTTGGAAGTGCCTGGGAAAAATCTTTTGTTGAGAGTGATTTGATGTGCCTGATTGTTTACTCTCTGTTGTTTTGCTGTTGTAATTTTTGAGTTTTTAATACTGGTAGCCAGATTTTGTTCATTTTCATGGGCTTTGTAGGTAAGCACCTGCACCTTGTATTGGGACCGGAAAATGAACGGCAGCCAACGGTTTGGGACCCGCCTACCTGCGTGACCACATTTCGGTGTACGAACCCACACGATTTCTTTGATCTTCCGGGGAGGCCCTACTCGTGATCCCACCTGCATCGCAAGCGCGATTGGTGGTGACAAGAGACAGGGCCTTCTCTGTGGTGGCTCCTTGACTCTGGAACTCACTCCCCAAGGATATTAGGCAGGCCCCGACGTTGGCAGTCTTTAGGAGGAGCTTGAAAACGTGGATGTTTCAGTGTGCCTTCCCAGTATAGGAAACTACAAGCACTTTGTCTCAAATGCACTTTACTAGAGATCTAGGTCTGTCCGCATGCCCTACCTATTTGCCAAAATACCTATCCATTTTACCCGGTCATGCCCAGCTTTTTAAAATTTTAACCATTACATCTGGCCCTGACATTGGTTTTAATTGTGTCATGTTTATTGTTAATGTTTACTGTTTGATTTTTATTTACTGCTGTATTGTTGTTGTCTCTTATTGTTGTATTGGTCTCGGCCTATTGTAAGCCGCACCGAGTCCTGTGGGAGATGGTAGCGGGGTATAAATAAAGGATTATTATTATTATTATTATTATTATTATTATTATTATTATATATCTGTGGAGTCCCATTTTCTTAGTTTCCAACAGACCTCACAACCTCTGAGGATGCCTGCCATAGATGTGGGCCAAATGTCAGGAGAGAATGCGTCTGGAACATGGCCATACAGCCCAGAAAACTCACAACTATCTACTGTCTGCATATACTTCGGTGTAACTGTCTCTTACGAAAGAGAAATCACTAAAAAGTCTGTGGAATGGGATTAATTTTGAGGAGGTTTGTTCTTTTTGTATCGTTCCTGATCAGGAAACCATTTTCCTTATCCTCCCAAACATACAAGAGCAAATCCTTGTGCATCAGTCTTAATTTTGGGGAAACCGCTAGGAATTGTGTGGAAGAAAGCATGTCCTAATATCTTCCCTTTCTGTCTAGTTCTCCCATTACATCCCAGGTTTAAAAACAGCTTAACACTTTAAACGCAAAGAATGTAAAACGGCCACATCTCGATTCTGCCTCTTCTCATATTCTCTGGGGCTTGGATAAATTTTAACATTTGGGGTTTAAATCACAACCAGTAACATAAGCTTTGCGAGGCTTATCAGCAGCTTCTCAGACATGTGTAGGCCATTATTGCAAGTAAACAGAATGTAAACAGATAAACTTCACCATGTACTTTGACAACTCCCCCCCCCCAGCCTAATTAGGGATCCTGGATTGTAAAGAGTGCAGCCATGCTGTTGCTCGAAGCTGGCAGAATGTCATGCCGGCCTTCCTCGATACGATAAGCTCACATCTGCCAAAGTTTATAAGATGGTGGGAGTTAGGAGGCGAAGTATCCCCCCCCCCCCCCCAATCCTTGCCGCCAAGTGTAATGTGGTACGATATCAGATTCTGGCCAGCCTTGCTTCGGTTCAGGTTCATCGAAATCCAAATACCACAAGCGATGRAAGAAAAATAAATACGGGTTGTAGAAATATCTGCCTGGAAATGGAAGACGGGTGCTGTGCGATGTCCGCTCCTGTACAAAGGAGGACAATGGGACCGTTCTCCTAGGACAGGCATGTGCAAACTTCAGCCCTCCTTCCAGGTATGGGCAAACTTTGGCCCAATTCCTACTGGCTGTTAGGAAATGTCGGATTTGAAGTCCAAAACGCCCATATTTGTCCTAGGACACCCCAATATGGAGCATCAAACTCAGGAGATGGACGGGAGAGAAGATGGAAGTGGGAGTTGGCCAACAGCCATGGTTATTCATGGCTTTGCAACCACTGAATTGGACAACAACACCAGGCGGCTTCAGTGATTCCAGGGCTCAATCCCCCAAGATCCACCATAGAGCACATCTTCCCCAAAAATGTATTGTCTGATGGGGCTGTTCTTGAAAACTTCCTTTGAAGAAGAAGGCCAAAATACTCCAAAAGAGAAGCCAAAATCCCATTTCTGTTAATTATTTATTGTTTATTTACAGTATTTATATACCGCTTTTCTCACCCCGTGGGGGACTCAAAGGGGTTTACACATAAGTAATGGCAAAATTCAATGCCAGTTCAAACAATTACAATTACAGTACATCCACAAGCAAAAAACAATAATTAAAACAATAAGAGTCTCGTCCGTCAAATCACCGGTCTATCTATCTATCTATCTATCTATCTATCTATCTATCTATCTATCTATCTATTTATTTTATATGCCGTTTTTCTCAGCCCTCAGGCGACTCAAAGCGGTGAACAACATCGATACAAAACATCACGAGACAAGTATAGGGCAATTAAAAACAATGACAATTCTAGTCATTGTCTTTCTGAAATGCTGCATACATTTACTCCTCCTGCCTGAAGGCCTGGTCCCAAAACCATGATTTTAATTTTTTTTTCTCCTAAAAGCCAGGAGGGAGGGAGCGGATCTTACCTTATTTGGGAGTGTGTTCCATAGGTGGGGGGCCATAGCCGAGAAGGCCCTGTCTCTCGTCCTCACCAGACACATCTGTGCTGTTGACGGGAGTGAGAGCAGGGCCTCCCCGGATAATCTTAGATTACGAGGTGGGACTTAGGAGTGGATGCATTCGTTGCAGCATGAGTTGAGTATTACACCTGACCTTCTTATTTATTTATTTTTGTGTGTGTCAGGAGCGACTTAAGAAACTGCAAGTTGCTTCTGGTGTGAGAGAATTGGCCGTCTACGAGGACGTTGCCCAGGGAACACCAGAATGTTTTGACATTTTACCATCCTTTGTGGGAGGTTTCTCGCATGTCCCCGCATGGGGAGCCAGAGCTGACAGAGGGAGCTCATCCGTGCTCTCCCCAGATTCGAACCTGTGACCTGTCAGTCTTCAGTCCTGCCGGCACAAGGGTTTAACCCACTGCACCACTGGGGGCTGACTTTTTTAGTGCCAGGCTACAAATATCCTAATATTAGGATATTTCTCCTACAAATCTGCATACAGCATATTAAAGTCAAAGTATGTTTGTTTGTACACAAAAGGTAAAGTGGCCCTCTGTGATGTCACTGGATTGGCTGCTGCTAGGTGAAGCTGTGCTGTTACTGAGAAAGAAAGGTGACAGGTGTATGAGAGGAGGGAACGAAAGTGTTGTGGCTGGGCAAGCGGCAGAGGATTTTTCAGATGATGAGAGATTTGGTGAGTTTCAAAGTGAAGAGTCTGCTAATTATCAGACAGACTTGCAGGCTGATAAGATCGTTGTGTGGGATTCCTTTGTCCCTTCCTAGGCAACGAAAGTGAAGATCTCAGTTCTCTTGTGAAGTAGTAGGGTTGGTTGATCCAAGTCGTAAGTTTCTTAAATCGTAATGAAATCGTAAATTAATTACCCTTTGAAGCGATATCGACGCGTTTTGGCAACCCAGAAGTGTTTTTGCCATATCGAAGCTGCATCCGCCATCTTCCTTACGACTTCCGCCAGTGAATCGTAAATGCTGGGGGCGTGGCATTCAGGAACAGCTGTTCTTACCCATGCCCACCTCCTTCATCTTTGCATTGGCGGCTTTGCAAGGTGGGCTTTGCGAGGTGGGCGTGGCTACGCCCAGCTCTTCCGCATCGCCGCTTGTCGCCAGGGAGGTAGCCACGCCCACCTCACAAAGCCCACCTTGCAAAGCCGCCGATGCAAAGAGGAAGGAGGTGGGGGTGGGTAAGAACAGCTGTTCCTGAAGGCCATGCCCCCAGCGACCTCCAAGGAAAGCTGTGCTTGACCATGCCCACCTCTCCCTTCTGCATGGAAGCTCGTGGCAAAGGAAGGAAGGGAAACTGCGAGATTTTAATGGTTCTGGAAGGAGGGGCACGTTCCATTAACGAAACCAAGGAAACGATTCGTATTTCCTGGTATTTCCGATCTTTTTTTCAAGAATATTTCGGAAATAATTTCAAAATCGAAACGCCAGCACCCCCTATATACAAACCGAGTTTAGAACCATTTTTTTTCTTGATCAACCAAGCCTATTAAATAGCCTTCAACCAATGGGGAGTTTTCCCGAGAAGCCAGATTACGTTTGAGAATGGAGGGAGTGAAAAATAGACTAATTCGATGTTCTGAGAGAATCTATGAGAAGTCCTTGAAGCACAGGTGCATTCAGCATGACCTCATTGAAGGAACTAGCGGAAGTCATTTCGGAACCATT